AGATCTCTAGCCGTTCAGCAGAGAGAGCGTTAGCATTGAAGAGGGCAGTATCGATGAAAGTCGCATCAATGTGGAAATCTACGGCAAGAGAGGGATCCTATTTCTCGCGTTCCGGGCCGTTTCTCATGGTTTTTTCTTCAGCCCGGCACCACTGACCACTTTACCTCAATTCTGGTGGGCTGCCTTCTAATCGTAAACTCCGACTGCGAAGAACTCCGACTCAGCAAGAAAAGAGAAGAGATGATAAAAATGGAATGAAAAAAGAAAACTGTAAAACCTTGGTTATCCAATGGCAGGACGCTGGGAAGAGTTTCCGAGCAGCTTTGTCCATGTCAACAACACTGGCTGATTTCTGCTCCAAGATCTGTAATTCGTAAAACAGCATTTCTATGAAATACCTTAAAAATGAAATTTGCTGAAAACAACGGACCTCGGCGACAATTTGACTGACGAGATCCCGAATGTGTAGCACAGCATCGTGATCGATCGCCATTCCAGGATGCACTGTGCCACAAAGCTGAACAAAATTATTCTTACAACCTTGCAGGGGAAAAAGGTATCATAGATGGGCCGCAATGCACCAAATCCTTTCTGACTGTTTAGTGCCCATGAAATTAACCGTAGAACTAGTGATGATCCACATTTTCCACTAGAGTGCCTCCAGACGTTTTTTTTCTCATTTTTATATTCATTTTTATGATCCATCGACCTTAGGGTGTAAGGGAGAGAAGGGTGTAGCATTTGGCCCAGTGGGCAGAACATTCAGATTTGTCCCCGTCCTTGCACTATTCGCTATCAAACAGCTAAAACATATTCGCTATCTAACAGCTAAAACAGTTGTTTCAGTTCAATGGGTCATAAATAACTTCACCTTCGCGTAATTAGAGTCGCAGATGGGTGTTCCTACTAGTCTATCAAACATATACGCACGATGTCTCCGTTTCACTCAACGTCAACATCGATCAGTGTAACATCATTCACCACTCAATTTGATTTGAACATTCGACCGCGACATCGCATTGTGGAATGACAAAGACACAACAAAAGCTGATCTTCATTAGATTATGCCTGATTACTGATGCCACGAGTACTATAGAGTACTATTTTGACTTGTTTTGATTAGTTAACTGCTGTTTTACGCCGCAGTTCGCGTTGCGAATGTTATCACAAGAATGCTGGGTTGTGAACAAAACTTTCGCCCCAGCCGGGATTCGAACCCGCATCTCTTGCTTTCCGGGCAAGTGCGCTACCAGTTACACTACCGGGGCACCATTTCACCCCAACTCAGCTTCGATGGTGAAGTTACCATAGCTATCAATTAAGGCAAAGGTCGGGATTAGTTGACCAAACCAACCCTTTCGGTCATGCCTGTACTTGGTTACGCACCCGTAGAGATGTTCCCACACTCAAAACCCGAAACGGCGCAGTAATAAGGCCCCAGGGCATGTACTATGCGCTATCGCCGCCTGGCCCCGCTACGACCGCCCACCTCGGGATGTGGCATAACGTGTGAAATCAGCTAGGTTGATAGCCGTATCAACCGATAGAACGACTGATATCTTCAGAAAACTTGTTTGTACGTGCCTCTTCCCCAAGCCGGCCTCCTTCATTGCTTTTGTGGTGTAAAAGAAGAAGGTGGGTTTTACGTCTACATATTAATCTCGGTCGTTTTTGCTCTCGAACGTGGCTTTGTTCTCACTTTTTGTCTCCATTGTCGCTATCCGAATTCGTCAACTACACATCAACGAATAATGAAATAAATAAAAAGTATTCAGTCGCATATTTTCCCTTTATTGCCAGGAAGCTCTTTTGCATGGCTTAAACAAAGTACGCCTTTGTTTGAGTCTCGTGCATAAAATGTGCAATCCTTTACCGGAAATTGGTATTTATTTATGTATAGAGCAGATAATTTAAAATTTAATTGTGCATCTTAGATTCAAGCTAGAATGAAGAGAAATAACTCGCGTACGAATCTCGGCTGTTGCAGGTGAAGTTATTGCGCAAACTTAATGTTCTTGTGAATAACTATAGATGCTCTGTCTTAATGATTACTGCTTATTAGAAAACCAAATCTCGAACCAGGACTGGATGCATGGGTCGAGTGCAGCCATAACGAAATAAAACCTCTATAATGTTTGTGGTTTTTGGAGACCCTTTCTCTCGATCTACTTTCCGACCGAGACCCACACGCTCTTGTCTGATCTAGCCTGCACCTACTTGCCTTGACATTATTGGGCTACTCTTTTTTTTCTTTCCGCATCTCCCCCAATAGCACTATTGCAGTCTGCCTCAGAAAGCACAGCGTTGAGGGAGCACGCGGGATTTTCAATAAGCCGGTGAAGCTTGCAGTTCTTGACGGCCTTTGCAGCTGCTGCACAGTCGCATTTGATCGGTGCAAAGCGCATTGTGGACGATTTATGGAACCCACTTAAGGAAAAAACGTGCGCGTAACGATCTAAGACAACATTATCGCGACTGCACACTTCAAGGAAGTACATAAACGTACGCAATGAAATTTATTTGATGGATTGCACATCCTCGAGATGTGAGAGATGAAGCGTGTTATTACTATAGTCTCAAAACTTTTGAGAGGGCCCGCCACCAGCAGCAACGCCTCTCTGTTGAGTGGTTTGCGCTCACCCAATGTGGAGGTCGCTTTCTGACTTTTACTCTTTATTTACATGATTAGTGGGCAATCAGAAAGGAGCAGTCTACTTCTGCCGACGCCTGTAACAGCTAACCACAAGAAGGTTATTTCTAGGATACAAATAATACTGGTTAGAAAAAATTACTAATAAGTTAAAGTCAATATATTAAGGCCGTCAATTGTGAAATGCACACGAGTCTATAGAGGATGAAACACCGGCACGCATTCTACTTCATTTGTAACATTCGCAGTGGCGTTTGGAAATGCTCAGACTGTGGTTATGTAATACGAATATTCAAGATAATAGACTCTATGTGTTATGTGCTGATCGTGCAAAAATACAAAGTGTAATAACTTCGTATAGCATACATTATACGCCTGTATACGTCAGTGTTTTTATATCCTCCCAGACAACGGTACCAATTAACCGACCCCGGAGGGATGGAAGGCTTGGTTGGCCCGGGCGACTCACGACCCAGGATTTGATCCCGGACCGCTCGCGTGGTAAGCGTGCCACTTGCCACTACACCACTTCCGCCCCATGCACACATATAGAAATAAAAATAGCAAATATATAGATATTTTGGTGCTATCACAAGATACGGGGGCACTGCGGTGGCAATTGAAACCGCGTAAACACCTCCTTTTTGTTATGTTCAGGACAAAGCCTTATGTTAGGGGTGAGCCTCCCACCTTCCCCAAGTTCTTTCCCTTCCTAGGCCTACTCTCAAAGGACGCCCCTGTGTCTTGCGATTGCGCCGAAATTGTTATTGAAAGCCTGCAAAGCCGGGATAAAGTCATGAAAGTGAGAAGGTAAAAGTTTACCTACCTGATAAATACGTTCAACAAAAACATTTGCCCAGACGTTTTGACTGGCCGTCATCCGTCCGCTGGCAATCGACGAACTATCACAAGTGGAATGTGGACTCATCGGAATCATAGGAGAATAAAAAATATACTAGAGCATACAATATACATGAAAGCGAATAAGGCACACGGTTGTTCGAAGGCACTCGGTTCGTGGACAAGGCACCGAAGAAATTTGTTTCACATAAATCTGGAAAAAATGAAAATTTTGCATGAACTTATAAATTTGCATAGGTAAACACGACGCGAATTTGAAAAGGAGATTCACTAACAAAGTATTAAGTCGTTGGAGAAAAAAGAATAACAAAGAGATAGCACAGCGTTTAGAAACACCCTTTTGCAACTATTTTCCGTGAGGTTGCTTGCAGATTTTTGCGAGAAAAAAAAACGTTCCATCTCTCTAGGAATGATAAGTCCTTAGAATAGTTTGATAAGATGATTAGATAGAAACACGGAGGTAAACATCAGATGGTTTTTTTCATTTGATATGTGTTATGTTGTCGGGCGGGATTTGATATGTGGGTTCCCAACTCAGTCCTTGAATTTATCCTTTATTAAGTCCTTCACATATGTTACGACTTTGCCCATGCCCACATCCGTTTGGGATTGCAAGGATGCGGTGGCTGATGTCTACCTTCCTTCTAAATCCATGTCATGTGCATGCAAAGTCTGTTGTACCGCATTCGAAACAGGACAAGTAGAAGTACGGTGGCCATCCTGAAAGATAATGAACAAACACAATCCCCCCAGTTGTCATATCTTTTCAGTTATGTTTTTGTTCGAAAAAAAAAAAACAAAAAATAGTGTTTCGCACTTTTCTCCAACCTTGGGGAAGGGAAGAGGGGCAGCAACCTG